GGGATGGCCATGTACCTGGGTTTGCATTGCAGTGTCCTCACAGATGCTCCCAACGCCACTTTGGTTCTCTAAGATGTTCACTCTCTGCATCTGCCGGTGCTCGCGTGTAGGTAAACCGGGCTTTGATAACGAAAAATGAAGCAGGGAAAGTGGGCCAACTTTGTGTTTTGTCTTGTTTATTCCATTATTATGACAGTTTAATTACAATGAGAAATAATGTGGCCCAATAATGAGCGGGCAAAAATGCCTGATAGACAGAATAGTTCTAGGGGACGCAATGAATGAAGTATGTATTGAAAAGTTGAAGATGATTGATTTCTAAATAAAGCATTCTCAGTGTTTTGTTTCATTTATCATTTGGAAGTTAATGAATACATTTTTCTTGTTAATTATACGTTGTGTGTTTCTACTAAGTGATTATTTCATACTTTATTAATATTTTTTAAAAGTCTTTTTAAAACTTTTCCAACATGTTTTTAATGAGCCATGCAATATTTAGAAGATGATAGTTTCATAGAGTTAATAGGGATTCGGTATAATCCTCCCTAACTCTCTTCCCTATTTGTAACACCTTACAACGTAACAGGGAACTGATATGGCCAACATATTAAGAGTGAAGATAACATTTGTATCACTTGAGGGGTTTTTGGGTGAAGGGCAAGAAGAACAATAGCTATGTTTCATACATTGGTTATTTATTGTAATATATTCATTTAACGTTAGCTAATTAATTAATTAGTGTGTGTGCACGTGTGTGTGTGTGTGTGTGTGTGTGTGTGTGTGTAAGGCTATGTATGTTCAGGTGTCCATGGAGGCTGAAATAGAGCACGATTCCCCTGGAACTGGAAACACTGGCAGTGACGGTGAACCCGAGTGAGTGCTGGGAGCTGAACTCAGGCGTTTGCAAGAATAGTATGCCCTGCTCTTTACAGTTGAGACATCTCTCCAGCTTCTTATTTATTTTTAAAAAGCTGACCAACTGTTTTCCAAAGTGACTGCACCAGCTCACGCTCTGACTGGAAGTGCGTGAGTTTTCTCTGCCTTCTTATCTAGTCTTTATCTAGTCTTTGCATCAGTATTTTTTCTTCTTCAGCCCTTCTGATAGCTCTGTGGTTATGTGTTCCTGGTTTAAAAACCCATTTTTCTAATGACTCAAGGTTGCCTAGTAGCTTTTCGTGGACTTCCTGTCTTCTAGGCAATGTTATCTGTGCTGCCTAATCTTACCCAGCAGCCTGACAAACCTGGGACGAGCGATTATCACCTTCCCATTGAATTGTGCTCACATCTTTGGGGCAGTCTTGATTGCCAGTTGATACAGGAGGGTATAACCCACTGTAGGCAGCATTGCTCTTTGGGAGGTGGGCCTGGACTGTTTATGAAAGGTAGCTGAAAGTGAGCCTGGAAGCTGGTAAGCCATGTTCCTCTCTAGTCTCTGCCTCAGTTCCTGTCTTCTGGTTCCTGCTTCAGCACTTGCCCTGGCTTCCCTTTATGGTAGACTGTGACCTCTAAGCTACAGAAACCTTTCTTCCCTGAGTTGTCTCTGGTGCTGGTTTTATCACAGCAACAGAAAGCAAACTAGGACATGACTCCCCGTGTATTTTCCAATTTCCTCATTGCTTTGCTTGCTTTTCATTGTTGAGTCTATTCTATATTCTAGATAATTTAGCTTGTCCGGATAATTAGCTCACAAATATCTCCTCTCAGGCTGCAGACTGTCTTTGAATCCTCTTAATAGGGTCTTTCACAGAGACAAGTTTTTCAAGGTTTTCGAAATCTAATTTATTACCTTCCCTCTGCTGGGTGATAAATGCGGTGTAAAACCTAGGGGTTCTTCCCATAGCATGGGCCTTGAAGACTTGCCCTGTTTTAAATAAGACTTGTTAAAGATGCTTTCTTTCTTCCATTGTATAATTTTAGCTCCTTTGTCGAAAATCAGGTGTTCATAGGTTTGTGGATTAATATCCGGGTCTTCGATTCGATTCCATTGGTCAACATCTCTGTTTTTGTGCCAATACCAAGCTGTTTTCATTACTGTAGCTCTGTAATAGAGTTTGAAGTCAGGGATGGTAATGCCTCCGGAAGTACTTTTATTGTATAGGATTGTTTTTGGCTATCCTGGGTTTTTTTTGTTTTTCCATATAAAGTTGATTATTGTTCTTTCAAGGTCTGTGAAGTATTTTGTTTGGATTTTGATGGGGATTGCAATGAATCTATAGATTGCTTTTGGTAGAATTGCCATTTTTACTATGTGTATAATTTTCTATTTTAGATTTCTTCTTGTGGATACTGGTATTAGAGAAGTGTCATCTGGGCCCAGGGCAACTTTTTTTCAGAGAGACTCACTTGTTGAATTTTCCATAGACTGATTTTTAACTTTTGAAAAGTAGAAGTCAGAGGTATCATTCATGGTGATCTGTGTCATGTTTCCTAGTTTGGTGCACTGGTCATGGGTTAGCCCTTTTTCGTGGACCTGTGCCGGAGAACATTCGCTTACTTAGCTGTAAAACAAACTCTGAGAAGCCAGTGGCCCACACCGTGGGCTTTACTTTTTTGTTAACCACATTGCATTTGGATTGATTCTGTTTCTGTTTACAAAAGCATTGCTGGGGCTGGGCCATTGGTTCCTGGGCCATGTTCATGCCTTCCTATCCATTTTCACATAACATAGATGCACATGTTGTCCTGCTTAGGCTTTAGATAAAATCAACTCAGAAAGGATTATTGCAAAAGTTCTCAATCATCTCTTGCTTTCTACTGGAAATTTTGGGATCTCTTATTTATGCCATGCAAAATGCAAACAGGGACGACTTGATTACTTTTCCTGTTTGTGTCCCTTTAATTTCCTTAATCTTGTTGCTGTAGGTAATGCTTCCAGCTCTATATGAAAAAAGAATGGAAATACTTGACAGTGCTGTCCCCTTCCTGAATTTATTGGGATTTCTTTGATTTTTTTCTCCATAAAAATTAATGTTGGTGGTGGGTTTGTCATACATATTCTTTGTTATGTTGAGGTATGTTCCATCCAGGGCTGCTAATATCATGAAAATATGTTAGATTTTATCAAAGACCTTTTCTGCATCTTTTGGGATGATTATGTGATTGTTTGGTCTTTAGGTTCATTTGTGTGATTTATTATGTTTATTGATTTACATAGTTTAAACAATCTGTGCATCTCCATGATAAAGCCAATTTGATCACGGCAGATGATCTTTTAGAGATACTCCCATATAAAGTTTTCAAATACTTTGTTGAGGATTTCACATCTTTCTATACTGGAGATATTGGCCTATAGTTTTAAACTCTACCTGGATTTTGTATTATTGTAATACTAGAATGAGATTGTGAGTTCTTCTTTTGAGCAGCCCTAATAAAAAAGTTTAGAAGACTTGAATTTTGCCATGTTTATGCAGAAAATATATATATACACATATATATGTATATATACACATATGCATGCTCATATTTGGCATATTTGGATTCAACTGTTCCACGTGTACATGGAGGCTAGAGATTAAAGTTGGGTACCTTTCCCAGTTATCCACCACTTTTCTTGATGAGATTAGGTCTTTCACTAAACCTGGAGCTTATGGATGAAGTCCAACTTGCTGGCTAATGAGCTATAGGGATCGACCCGCTCCCAGCCCTGACTGGAGTTACAGTGTATGGAACTGCTCTTATCCAGTACTAGGATCTGAACTGAGGTCTTCATGCTTACACAGCAAGAACTTTACAGGCTGTATCATCTCTTAACTTGAGAGGTGATTGTTTGTTAACGAAACCAAATAAAGCTTTAAAGTCGACACTAAATAAGGATAATGGAAAACAAAGGACGTGTGATCCATGTCATAATAATTCTCACTTGAATATAAACTCATTTTCCCGATTTGTTAGTTCTGCCATCCTATTCATCAATTATCATGCTGTTGTTGGTGCTAGGAGATCATCTTGAGTCTACCCAGGCCACTGACCAGCTGTAATGAGGTACTAATACTGCAGGCCGCTAGGATCTCTCCTGCAGAGGAAGCATATTTGCTCTGACTTCTGCACTATTGCCTATTGCAGGCCACTTTCCTACAGCACGGATCTACAAAGAGACCCCTTTAATTATTAAATTTAATGAAATGTAGTCTGTTCTAGTTTTACTTTTCCCTTTGACCTTTGGGAAAAAAATCTATTGACTTTCAAAGTACTACACATATGCAGTTTATTCCTTAGCAGTCACTAGTTTGCTCTTCCTGAGAGCTCTGACCATTGCCATTAGAAGTTTTAAAAATACTCAATAGTTATAATTGCTAAAAATGTTTCTTCCAAACCAAAAGATCTATCATAAAAGATAAATGCTAAGATCAATGATGTGACCTCTTAGGAAGGTCACTGAGTTTCATTGTGTGCAATGACAAGCATGCCATTTCTCCTCTAAAGAAACCACCATTTCTTTGGAATAAATGTAGGACCAAACAGATACCATATTAGAGGAGTCCCATGCCATCGAATGAGTAGGAAATGGGACTGGACACAGAAGCAGGGTGGGGAATTCTGTCTCACATGGTGTCCATGGGTTTCATTGTCTACTGCTATGTCGTCCTGATACTTCCCGCTGAAGACAATGGTGATCAATTCTTTCCAAAAGAATTTTCTTAAGTCATTTAGATAAAAATTTGGGGCTTACTAGTATTTAATTGACATTAACATCAAATATGTGTATACTGGTTCTCTAAATTTTGATGACCTCACTTAGATAAAGGTAGCATAGTTAAGAATTATCAAAGCTGGGCATGGTATCATACAGGTGATCCCAGCAGTCAAAAACCTGAGACAGAAGAAAGACCACTTCTTCCTGGCTAGCCTGTGGCTCATATTAAAGGCTCATATTAAAGAAATAAAATATTATCAACGAATATCAGTAAACTAGCTTCTCCCACCAATGTGGGAGAGATTTTAATACATTTCTGTTTAAACTGCAGGTTTTTCTGACTGTTTTTTCTCTCTCCTAAATCCAGGCTGTCAGGATTCCAGCTGCCCTCCTCCATTGTGAGCACCGGGTCTCTCCTCACGCTCTGGTTCACCACGGACTTTGCAGTGAGCGCACAGGGTTTCAAGGCCATGTATGAAGGTAGGAGACTACTGCGCTTGGCATCTTATAACCTCACGTGCTGCTGGGGGATCATGTGTGGATGCAGAGTGGACGCATGGTAGAAGAACTGGGCTGTTCTTTAATATGTTGACAAAATGGTATGCTGGTGTCTTCTGTAACTGTCAAAGAATCCAGCCCAAAAACACGCTTGAGTTTTCCTTTAGTGGTCTGAATGTATGAATCAGATTGTTTTGTTGACTGCAATGGTAACTAACATCTGAAGGGTTCACATATAGAATGGCATGATGTAAAGTATTTGTTTTTAACCCAAAAGAGTTCTATTAAAACTCTTGCTTGGCTAAGCTGCTAAGCAGGCCTTAAGTAATGCGGTCTCATGAAATGAGGGATTTTTGTCAAGACCAAAAATTTTAACTGAGAAGTTCATTTGGCCTTGCTCTCCTATGGTTCTCACATAGCAATGGAGTTTCAGATTGGTGTTCGGAGATGTTGTGATGTTGTTATTATTTTTAAGGTGACTTGGTGTAACTGTAACAGAATAAGAGAGGACTTTGAGAGAGGAACTGATTTTCTCTGAGTCAGACAGAGGTAATTGAACTGGCTACTTGCAAGTACGAAGTCTAAGAGGATTGATGTAGTTTGGCACAGAGATTTTTCTTTCTCTTTCATGTGTAACACAATGGTTATCATTTGTAGCGTGAGTAAACTCTGGTGCCTATGAGTCAAGAAAAGCACCCTGTGGTTGGAGCCATTGATCACTGTCTCTCTATAACACACATGCTTTGTTTTAAAGGAGTCTCTGGTTTGCTTTGATACTGTGTATCTGTGACATGCATGTTCTTTGTGCAAAGTTCAAGCCTATACTTGGTTTGTGCAACTGAACTTCGTTGCTATGCAGTTGTCAGGTGATGAGTTGCAGTAGAATTGATCCCTGTGGAGTTGTACAAAGCCTGATCAATCCTTTCATTTTTATTGATCCATGTAATGATATTGAAAATAACTAACCTGCTCTGGCTGAAGGCTTTTCTGACTTCATCTCTCTTCTACATCTAGGCTGTCGGGATTCTAGCTGCCTTCCTCCATTGTGAGGACCAGGTCACTTGTTTATGAGCTCCCTGTACTTTCATATAAACCAGCGTCAGTTGCTAGAAGGGTTGGGCACTGTTGAGTGTGTGACTGATTGTCAAGAAGTAATACAATTTTGGACAGTTATAGGCTGATTTGTGTATGGTCAATGGTTTGATTAACTTTCAAATTTAGTTACACTTGCCCTCTTCCTTTGTGCCCTGAATCACATGTCTTTTGCTTATTACAGAACAAAAAGAATCACCACAGTAGTGAGTGTTTGCTGCCCCTGGCATGCCTCCTCTTACATTTCTACATGATTTCTGTTCAGAGAGCAGAACGTGGTTCCAAAGCCAAGGAACCCTGGAAATTCTCCTTTCTGTCCTGACAAAGACTATCTTTGTGCTTTGTGTATTTCTCAGCTACTGGTAGCTAATATAGAAATCTTTATAGTTGAGTGATTGGCAGCTGCCTCTGTTCACCAAACCTTCCTGTTCTGCTGTGGGACTGTCATGTTGGATGATGACACAATTTCTAAAAATTGATGAATTTTCTCTATTGGAAATGATTTCATGTTTGTGTAAGACTCATAGGGAAATATAACTGGATAAGTTATATTTCAACTTAGCTGTATGCTATGTTAAATATGCTTTCCTAAAAGCATATGTGAATGGGGTTTTTGTAAGTTAGACTTTCAATGGTTAATCACTTATCAGAAATTGCCAATAAATATAAGACTATTTTTGAAGGAAAATTTTCATGAAAATACACATCTCTTGTCAACAAAACCAATTTTAGGCAATATTTAATATAACAATACAATAATTACTTCTTGCTGCTGTACATCAAAAGCTTTTATAAAAATGCAAGTGTGTTATCTCTCTATAGAAAATGAAGAGTCCCGATGGGTGGAGTTACCTGGAGGAGAGCCAAGTTCCCATTGACAGCTCCCCTACCCCATTGGTAGCTCAAGTTCCCAGGGATGGGAGGAAATTCTCACCCATTGGGGCAAGGTCTGAGGGGTGCACAGGACGGGAAAGATAACTACAGGAGAGGAAGCAGGGCCAATGTTGTGGTCAGGGGGACACCCATAACAGCTTTCAGTGTGGTATATACATTTTTAAAAAATAATTTAGATTTTCTTCTACTCAAATAATTTCTGTTTTGAGGAGATAAGACATGTAGTCATTCTATGAAGGAAACAATCTAACTAATGTTAACATGAAAAGTAAAAATCAATAATGTCAATATGTTATTCAGACCCTAGAATGGAAATTGAATTTAGACAAAAGTACTAAATCAGCAGGACAGTGGTGGTACACCTTTTTAATTTCAGAATTCAGGAGGCAGAGGCAGGTAGATCTCTGTGAGTTCGAGGCCAGCCTGGTCTACAAGAGCTAGTTCCAGGACAGACTCCAAAGCTACAGAGAAACCCTGTCTCGAAAAAAACAAAAAAAAAGTATTAAATCAACCATTGAAGTTTCCCCTGTGGTCTTTAAAGTATCACTGCTTTCCTAAATTAGAAGTTCTATAGGATTAACATATTGCTACTTAGAATTTTAATTCACATTCACTGGCTTGAACAGGCAAAATTGTCCAAGCTTCAATCTTCTTTCAAAATATGATGACCTTGGCAATGGTCTTCATGTGGGCGTGGAACTCATGATTGTTGGCGGTAGTTTTCAATAAGCATTGTTTGTGCAAAATATTATTCATACATGGGGATATTAAGCTACATAATGAATATGGAAACAATGAGTTAAAATATTACAATTAATGCATTAACACATTAAATTTAATTCTGTAATCCCAATGAAAATATTTATAAATAGCTTCCTAATGCTGTCTACATGGAGTATTTGAATTTCATCAAAGGCATGCTTTAGGGTTTTCTTAGCAAATGAGTTTATAGACTGTTGTATAAGAAATTCAGGGATTTTAACTGGTAAATACAGAATAGGTTGAGCCAATAAATGAAAATACTCATCTTGTCATGTATCATTTGCTCCATCCACGGACCAAACAATTTATAGAATTCTATTTAATAAATCCTAATGAGATACATGATCACATGCTGCTTACAGTGAGTTCTAAGGAACGCTATCATATTTGCTTTTGTCTTTAAATGATTCCATGGATTAAAGCAGATATTTTCCACCAGCTAGTGTATGTATTTTGGAGATAAAAAAGCATACGTGTTTGTATTTGTATCTAGGTATATATACATATATTATGTGTAATATATATCATATAGATAATTGTTAGATTGTAGATAGGGATGTGTGGATTTGTATGTAGATATTTGGGTAGATGAATATGTAGATAATGGCTATATAGACAAGTAAATGTATGGATAAGAAAAAATGAAGGATAAAAATAGAAAAAGGATGGGTAGAAAATATGGTAATAGATAGCTGAAATAAAGAAGCATCATAAAAGAAGGATTAGTATACAGAAAATAGATATATCTTGTTTATAGGTAATTATTTTACAAATATATATTAAAATATTTTACAGATAAATGATTGATAAATACATACATGATAGACATATAGAAATACGGTCAATAAATAAGTAGATGATCATTGCAAGGTAGATATATCACAGACAATAGACAAATAAATATATGGCAAGTAGATAACAGATGGATGGATATCGTGCATAGAGAGATCAATATACAAGTAGCTAATTTTAGATATTGAGCTCAATATCTAGTATTAGCTACTTGTATATATATACAAATATATACATATTATGTATATATATGTTGCTACTTGTAATTATATAAGATAGACAAGAATATTTTTTGTATCAATGTCTGTATAATGTGATTTCTAATCATATCATCACAAGAATTCTGTAAGTGAAATGAAATTACTTGTTGCTATTACTTAAATTTGATGGAGCAGTAACTAAAATAATTTCATGTCTCAGAATTCCATTGTTCTCCTCAGTCGCAACAGAATTAAGAACAGGTCTGCCTATCTCCAGAAGCTGCAATTGCCAAGTGCTTCACATCCTCAGGTTGTTGGTGATTAACCATGAGATTGTGTGTGTGAAATACAAATGCATGTACACAATATCCCTAAACAATATGTTTATGCTTCTAAAGAGACTATATTAGCAGGATTCATTAGGTCGACATTGGGGCCTTAAGAATTCATTCTTCAGGGATGGAGAGATGGATCAGTGGTGAGGAACACTTCCTGCTCTTGCAGAAGACCCATGTTCAGTTCTTAGTACCTATATCAGACATCTCATGTCTGTAACTCCACTGCAAGGAGTTCTTATGCCCTCTTCTGGCCTTGTGGGCACTACACCCACAGGTGCACAAACCCATATACATACACTTAAATAAATATGAAGTCCTTAAATTGCGGGATTTTTGGAGGCACTGTTTTTCCCCTCACTTATTTATAGAGCTCTCTCTCTGGGTATTTGGTAGCTTTCCAGCACTAGACTGTGTTAACAATAACAACAATGCTGAAATAAATGGAGATCTTCCCAAAACTATAGAAAAAGAGGGCCAGGGTGAGCTGCACATGCAGACAAGGTGCTTTTGTGCTTTCGCACGAGATGGCAACAGTGTGTGAGCTTAGTCCTTCATATCCAGAAGGATTCTACGTTGTCCGTTGCCACCTACTGAAGTGTTGTCCAAAGATTCAGGGGATAAATACCTGCTGGTGCTGAGCACTGAACAGAGGTTCTGAACAAGGACAGGTGATAAGAGGTTCCTTCTGAGTGAGGCAGAAACGTGCAAGGAAACTGAGAACAACAGATGGGTTTTTTCTGGGGGTTGTGTGTGAATGGAAAGAAGGTGGGATTGCAGAAGAACTGGTCTTAATAAAGCCAATCTCAAGCTGAGGGGACCCCTGGCCCACCTGAATGCCCCAGTAGTGAGCTGACTTTGTATTGTTCCAGTCCTTGGAAAAAGAAAACTCACACAGTTACAGTCT